ATGATTTGTTAAACATTCACCTTTTGTGAAACAAAAAGGAATGGAAGAGTAAAAAATGAAAAAAAAAATATGGATAATTATAATTTGCAGAAATATGTAACGTGTGCAAAATCCTTACATCTCGAGATGGTTGAGATGGGGATAAAGCTTCTGTAAAATATTGAAAACTTCTAAAGCTGATATCACTATTCCAACCAGACAGTATCTGCCACTAGCCGAAGGATTCTCCATAGCTAGAATATGTGCAAGAGCAACATCCCTAACGTCAACAAACCTAAAAGTTGGAAATTCCGTCCTTCCTGTAATGTGTTAAAATTGATCCTTTAAAAGTTTTATGCAAATATTTGAATAGAAGGCTGAAGTCTGAAAATCAATAAACTTGAAAAGGTAGTAACAGTCAAGAATGTGATGGTTACATCAATATAATGCAAAGGTATTAGACCAATTGGTATTGTTTAAACATAATCTTATTCGATATTGCACAATCATATATATTCCATTCTAGGGAGTGAAATCTGTCTTAAATGGAAAGATTGCCACACACACAAGATCCTGATTGTGTGCAGAAAATACCTTCTTTAACAAGGTTCAAAATTGTCTCAGAAGTTAAATTGAGAGTTGGCTGAAGAAGTGGGCCAATTACCAAGCCAGGATTCATCACCACCAAGTCAATGCCATTTTCGTTTGCAAATTTCCACGCGGCTTCCTCTGCCAATGTTTTTGAAAGGGCATACCATAGCTGAAAGCAGAGGCGAGTTTTTAAAATAATTGAAGAACACTTTTGAGACTACACATACACACTCGTAGCTGTACTTTCCCCCTTTTTGAGCTATAATAATATTTTATGGAAATTCTTCATTTACGTGTATATTTTGACAATAGAAGGCTGTTGGTATAGTTTTGTTCAATATATAAAATTCAATATTGAACACCAATAAAAATGCAGAAAATCTTGAAAACAATAATAAATAAATTATGTGGAATTACCACCACAAATACACGTTTACATATCTCCATTATTGACCTAGCTACTATCACATACTACAGAACTCTCCAGTATCCAATAACTAGCCTTAGAAGTCAACATCAAAAGTTTACAGGCTAAAATTAGATTTCAATAACTTAAGAAAATAACTAATTACTTAAGAATAAAGTAGTATCGTACATAATAACCCCACAATTTGAATATCCATCAGTATCAAGCTCAATCCAACTAAAGGAAATGCTAAAAACCAGGTAGTAAAACCAATAAATATAGAAAAATCCAAGGTTCGAAGTCTGAAAAATGCAAACTGATTTGAAGTTTTAATCCCTAAGAACTGAGAATAATAAAGAAAAATCACATAAAACATAGTTGCATCTCTGTATCAGAATTACATGATAAAATAGATGTCTCATAATGACCTGTAAGGCAGTAAAACATTATTCGGGACAATAAACCACGAAAGAAATAAATTATTCTAGAACTTCCATTAAATGCCTTCTGGAAAGGGGGCGTGTAGTTATTCTAAGATGATTTCTTTATGCATTTTAAGTTCATTATCATTAGACTGCATTTAATGTTCTAGGTCATTTTATGCATTCTGAAGAATGAAAACGGAAAGAAATGAATGGTATTTTGACATGCACATACCTCTTTTTCCTTGCAGAATACAGGATCTGAAAAACATGTTTCATCAATTATAGCATCCAGGCTTGGAGGATTCTTGAAAGATGTAACTGCAGCAATAGAGGATGTTAACACCACCCGTTTGATGGATGGTACATTTCTGCATGATCTAAGTACATTAAGTGTTCCCTTGACCGCAGGTTCTAAAAGTTGTGCCTGAGACAAGCAAATAGCTAGCAAGTCAAAAACTTTATACAACCTGCGTTTTACAAAAATCATAATAAACAGAAAGAAGCCCAATCAAGCAAAACTGCACTAGCGTCGAAACAGTGACTGGAAAGCTCCCTCGTAAGTTAGCGTACATAAACCATAATGCATAGTTTTGCTTTTTTTTTTTTTCACTCCCAACTAACCTATCAATGTTTGTACGGCTATGGTTTAGCCTTTTCAACAGTTCTTCTTGGAAGCATCTACTGAACAATAGTTTCTTCTAACGTATAAATGAATAGACGTTGCTTCCCATTTATACCACTCTTTTATCCTCTACAAAGTGAAATATGATTTATTTGAAAAGCATAATGATTTCTATCCTTCTTATGATCATAATCTAATGGGTGGAATGCAAAATGCTCCAGTTAACACTTTACATCAATGGTGTCCATCAGAAGTGTTAGGCATTCGAATAATAGGATAGAGAAAGTTAGTTTTGCCTGAGGGTCAGTTACTGAAAAGAACACAGGTGATGCTGCATGAAAGACGCCTTCACAACCATCAACTGCAGAATCAAAAGACCCGTCTTCGTTTAAGTTGGCCTTGAAAAGATGTAATCTTTCCTTAGATCCTTCGAGTTCCATCAAGTGTGCAATCTTACTTGGATCACCTATATCAAATGAAGTCTTTCGATCATCAAAACTGGAAATATCCTTTAAAATATAAAGTTGAAATCCTTGTGAATATAGATGATTTCTCTCTTAGCTTTGTTTATATTACTTTAACTTCTTAAAAGATTTACAGCATCTTTAACTCAAAGATCTAAAAATTCGTTTCGTTGTTGAAAGGTGGGATAAATGAAGAAGAATGATTGAATTGTTGCTAAAACAAAATACAAAAA